CTGATGCCACTGCCGTCTAGCCCAGCGACAGAGTGAGACTCTGTCTCAGAAAAAAGAAATACCCAGAAGAGGGGCTCTTAACTCAGAGTTCAGTGGTCCTGGAACACTTCTCAGAGGAAACTATCTTTCCTCTAAGACTGGAAACAGAAGGAGGAATTGGCTAGGTAAAGGGGGCTTTGAATGGGAAAAACGTTCCAGGCAAAATGTGACAAAGGTCACCCCTGACGCACAACAAAGAGTCTAAAAGAGGCTCTGAATGGCTGGAGCTTGGAGTTGGAGGAGGGGAATGATGACAGACGGGCTGGAGGGGAGACAGGGTCTGGGGAGCAGTGACTCTCCACTCTGGCTGCAGCTTGGAGAAAACATGCCCAGGTCCCACCCCCACCCCCAAGTGCTTGAAAAGCTCCCCAGGTGTTCGAATGTGCAGCTGATGTTGGAAGTACTGACTAGATCATGCAGGATCTTAAAAGCCACGGTAAAGAGCTGGAAGTTTATCCTGAGAGCAACGGGGAGCCTCTGGGGGTTTTATGGAAGGAAGGGACGTGATGGGATTGTTCTTTCTCCAGAAAGATGACCCTAGCTGCTGGGTGGAGAAGGGAAGGTGACAGAAAGGTGGGGGTTGGAAGGAGACTGGGTAAGAAGGCTGCTGCAGTGGTCCAGGTGAGAAATGGAGCCAGTGGTGACAATGGGGATGGCAGCAAGTGCAGAGATCTGAGGCCTGGTCCGGGGTGGGCTGGAGGGGAGGACAGGGGAAAGGTGGGGAGGCAAAGATCGTCCCCTGAATACACAGGTCAGAATTACTGACACATTTCCAGCTACAGATGCAGACCCGTGAGTCGGCGGCAGAGAGACATGACACGCTCTCCCAGGAAGAGCGTGAAGAACAGAACCCCAGAGGATGGGGAGAGGGGTGCCCCAGTACGACTGAGAAGAGCTGGTCAGAGAAGGAAGAGAAAAAGCACACGCGTGCATTGTCAAGAACGTTAAGAATATGACTATTATAAGCGTCAATACGTATGAGAGCGACAAATTTTGTGAGACGTATTCACGGGTTACTGGTGACCTTGATGGCGCAGGTGAGGTCAGTGCCTGGGGTGGGGCTGACATGATGATGAGAGCAAACACCATCCAACGGGCAACTATTCATCTTCTCCGCGGTAGGCAAAAATGTGCTTATTTATTCATTCCTTAAATACTTTATTTATGCAGCACCTAATGGGCAGGGCACTGTGTTCCACGTTCTGGACAAGTCCTGAGCTTCACTCGCTGAGAGAGATAGACAATCTTGTCCATGCACAAAGCGATGTGATAGAAATGCTAGAACGGAGATGCACGCAGGGGGCTTTGGAGCACAGTGGAGTCAACTCTACTGGGGCAGAGGAAGGGGCAGGCAGGAAGGGTCTTAGAAAGCAAGGAAGAGGGGCAAGGTTTGCACTGATGGGGTCTTTGCTGGGGCTGCTCACTGCAAGCGTGCAGATCTCAGCCCGAAGTGGAAAAATAGCACTTCCAGATCTCCTCGTGGTTTTAGTGGGGCCACATGCCCAGCCTTGGCCAATGAGTGGTAAGTAGAGGTGAGCAGGTCACCTCCAGGCCAGAGCATTCAGTGGCTAGCACAGGAGGCTCCAGAGGCCTCTTGTCTCTTGGGTATGGCAAACAGCAATGCTGGGACCATGGCTGCTCCTAGGCACCGAGTGACCCCTCCTCAAGGGTAACGTATTCCTCTTGACAGACCAGAAGCACCAGCCAGAAACAAACTTCCGTTGTTTCATTGCTAGTTGTTGCTTCTGCCACGCTGTATCCTCGCCCAGTGGTTCTCAAAGTGCGGCCCCTGGCCCAGCAGTAGCAGCTTCACTCGGGAACTTGTTCGAAATGCACATTCTTGGGCCCTATCCCGAATTTACGGAAGCAGAAACGCTGGGGGGAGACTCAGCAACCTGAGTTGTAACAAACTCCAGGGGATTCTGAGGCGCGCTGAAGTTTGGGGACCGCTGCCTCGTGGTGCTTACTGAGACGGTCATCTTTAAGGCAGGTGGGACTCAGAAGGCGTGAAGGTCATTCTAGCCAAGTAAACTTTAAAAAAAATGGAGTAAGATGCTAATTAAATGGTGAGGCTCAATGTATCATTGGAAAGGATTTTTGAGTAGAAACGTCATTGCACCCACCTCCCACAGATAGAGCCTTTCTGAAAAGGTGGCCATGTAGACAGTTTCCTACCGTGTCCAATCGGAAAACACCGTTGCAGAGAAGATGCTCCGAATCCAGCACCCAGGCTGAGCCCAGGAGTGCATTTTCCATTTAGTCCTGGCCTTGCTGATGTAGAAAATGCTCCTGAATGCTTTGAATCTGAAAGGTACATAAAACCCAATTCTCTCCGCTTCAGAGTGAGTCATTAGAGCAGGAGCTGAGGCTATTTGGTAATGGGCACTATTTAAATAAAGCAAAAAGTACAATTTCAAACGAATTGCTTTTTAAACTGTCAAATAAAAAGAATCCATTTGTGCATGTGAAATTATTCCAAGGGTTCTAACTATTAACTGAAAGCAGGTGAAAAATGTCAAAGAAAAGAAATGATCTATTAAACTGCCGGTTAAATGTTTAAAGACAGACACCTAATGACTCCTTTGGCCTGTTTTGGATTCAAAAATATGTATTTTCACCAGCCCTAGGTGAGCTCCATGGACAACTGTTTTAAGAAAATATTAAATCCTAGTAACAAAATACCGTTTTGTTCATTGGCATTGCTTTAACCAAAGTGACCCCCACGCTGTTTTACGGTCAGGACAAGAGCATAGCATCACCTTAACTTTTTCTTTTGGCTTAAATTTGATGCCGAGGGTCCTTGGCTAGCTCTCCAAGCGTCATATTTAATGATGTTTTATGGGCTGTTTGCTATTAATGAATGCATCCTCGTCAGTCTAGTCAATGAGAAGAAAATTCTGCTAATGTATGAAAAAGTGACTTTTCAACTGCCGGTGGGCATGCTTGGTAGCGGTCATCACGTATGGAGGCAGAGCCTCCGTGTTAAGGCATCTCTACAGACAGAAACAGAACCCTGGCCTTTCCCTTTTCATTCCCTCCAGGGGTTTCCACTGCAATCAATTTTGCCTTCATGCCTTCAGTATCTTTCTCGGTATTGAAACGAAACTGCCGAAAATAATCAGTGAAACTTCTCCCTCCCCAGCCCACTGGCACCTCTCACCTGTGTCCTTGTGCCAGGCTAACACAAGCAAAATGGTCCCTGCTTACTGAGTCCCAAGGGAACCAGGTGGGTGATAACCAGCCAGAGGAATTGGGGACCGGTTGAAAAGGGGATGCTTCTCACACTTGAACGTGCACACAAATTTCCAGGGGATCTTGTAAAAAATAAATGTACACTCAGTAGGTCTGAGATGGAAGCAGAGTCTGCATGTCTCCCAGGCTCCCAGGCAGCGTCCATGCTGCTGTGGACCACACCGGAGGGCAGCGAGCAGTGAAGGGACATACACATTCTGCACCACCGTGACTTTCGGGACCCTGCTTCACCGGCAGTCAGATAAGGGTCTGGCTCCCTTTTGATTTAGGGTTTCTTGAAAGCAGAGACTGGGTCTTATACATTTTTGTTGTTATCATTTTGTTCCCTGGCTGGCACCTGGCACAGGGCCTGCGCCCGGTGCGTACGTATTTATTTAATAAAGCAGAGTTGGCCTTACTCCAAAAAGGATTTTAAGTGGATTTACCCCCTAGTAGGCCCTAGACAGGTGCATGATGAATCGGCCAGCGAAGGAAGTCAGTCCTAGGGGTAGTCACAAACCCTCTGGACTGGGGTCACCTCCACGTGCCTGCACCTGTATGACACCTCAGCTGCTGTTCTGAAATTTTCCCTCCTGCCCCATTTTTGGAGCAGTTTTCACTAGAGAGCTGATCAGAAAGGAGGAGGAAAAACAAAACAAAACCAGAAAGCCCTGCGAAGCAGCAAGGTTTTCTGGAGCATCAAAAGCTCAACTGGGCCGTGGGGCCACAGAACTCTCAGGTTTCTTTTCCTCCGGGTCTCCAGCCTTTCGCAGGTCGGTGTCGCATCCCTGCAACACAGGTCCCCCGCCTGCCCCGAGAGCCCTGCAGGAGCTGGTCCCAGCGGGCACAGGCGCCCGTTGGCTTGGTGCAAATCTGTTTGTTAGCTCTGCACGAGCAATTAATCTTTCTGTGCCTCTCCCGTCCCAGGGGCGCGGTGGGGGCTTCGGGTCGCCTCAAGGGGTCTTAGGGAGCCCGGACAGGAGTGACCCATCTGCAGAAACCCTTATTCCGAGAGTCCCCCAGGGTGCCATAACCTGGTCCTCTCTGCAGCAACCTTAGAGGGTAAAGGAAGGGCTCGTTTTGACTTCACAGGGAAGGAGGGAGAGAAAAGGGGAGAAGGAAGGGAATTATATTGGTCAGCAGTTGGGCCTCACTGGGGAAGGGAGGAGCGCACAGGGGAGCGCGCCCTAGGGGAGGAGTACACGTGCTGGGGAGGGGGAGGTGAGAGGCGGGCAGGAAGGGAGGAGAGAACAGCGGGCGGGAGGCGCCACGGCCTTGCAGACGCAGGCGCCTGCAGACGAGGAGCCGGAGAGAAAGTTCCCGGGGAGAGCGGGCCCCGGGGAGGGCCAGCGTCGAGGCCGCTAGCCGGGAGGGTCGCAGGTCCCGAGCGTCCAGCCCGTCTTCCCTCTGCGCGCACTCGTCCGCCCGGGCTCCGCTGGCAGGGAGCAGGCGAGCATCGCCGGCGGGCAGCCGGGGCGGCCGCAGCCAAACTTGGAGGAGGAGGATGCTGCAAGTGGGCGCGGCGGCGCGGGACACGGGGGCGCACTGAGTGTTCCCCCTGGGATCTCCCGGGAGTTGCTGCCAGGGCTGCGGCCGGGCGAGCGGGCCGAGGCAGAGCGGGCAGGTAGCAGCTCCAGCGCCAGGACTGCGCCAGCCCTGCGAGCCCGGGCCGCCAGCGCCACCGTGCCGGCGTTGCCTCCTGGCTACGGAGCCATGGTGCGCGCAGCGCGCACGCCGGGCGCGGGACTCTGAGCTTCGGCCGCGCCGCGCGCCCGCACCTGCCCTGTCCCCTCGGGGCTTCCCCGCCGACCTAGCCCGCCGGCCATGAGGCTTTGGCCCGGAGCCCCCTAGTCTCTGAGCCGCGCATCGCCCGCGCCGCTGGGCCACTGATAGAACTCGGGCCGCTGAAGCTCCCCACCCTCTCCCGGGGACGGCACCCAGGAGCTCCGAGATGGCGCGGCGCGGGACCCCCCGGCCGCGCAAAGTTCGCAGGAGGCGAGAGATGCTGCCACAGCAAGTTGGCTTCGTGTGCGCGGTGCTGGCCCTGGTGTGCTGTGCGTCCGGCCTCTTCGGCAGCTTGGGTAGGTGCCGGGACCGGCCCCCTCGGCCCGGGGAGTTTGGGGGCTTTGGCTGAGGAGCCTCGGGGCAGCTGAGATGTCTTCCCCTCCTTCCGTGTCAGGGTGGTCCCAAGGGTCCATCCAGTACCCTCCCCGCCAGGCAGGTAGAGCGCGCCCAGGAGGGCTGATGGACGCTCTGAGCTTTGCCGCCGGTCCCCTTGAGCTGCGCGCGGCCCCTGGGGGCTCGGGACGCGGCTGCAGGTGTGTGTTACTAAGACAAGAGCCTGAACCGCCTCTGTCCCTGGAGTGCGTGGGAAATGCGCAGCGCAGCGGCGGGGGCCAGGCGTGGATGCTCTGGGTCTGGGGTGGACGAAACTGAGTGGTCCGCTTTCCTATTCTGCAGAGCGGCTAGGCTTGAGCTGCGCGTCCCTCAAAACCCCAGATTCAGAGGCTGGGAACTGCCACTGCCTCTGGCCCCTGCCTTGGGCGTCCTGACACGTCCTCCCCGGACCCTAAAAGCGCTGGGACAGTCTGCCCCGCGGGGGATTGCTGCCACGTTTCAGCACCGCTTCTTTCAATTCCTCTTAATCCCCACGGGAGGAGAGGGCTGGTATGTGGAGCCGCAACCCACACTCCCTCCTCCAAGAAGAGGGATTTGGAAGTCGCTGAGGATATGCAAATTTCAGACGGAGTGAGGAGAGAGGAGGAACTTACAAAAAGAACCTGTTCGGGGGCATGTGAGCCTATGTGTAACCTTAAGAAGACATCCACCTTCCTAATATTCTCATTTTGAGTTGGATGCTGATGTAATTTTTTTTTAAGTGTGCAAACAAAAGAAATGCTGATGATTTAGCAGCCAAGACAGGGAGGTAAATTGGGTGGTAAATTCTTGAGCAGTTAGAAAGGCCAAATGCATCTAGAGAAAATTGAGAGAGGTTTGTAGTAGTAGGTAAAAATCAGGTGGAACTTAATTAAACTTTTTAAAAATGCCGTCTTTCAAAACCCAAACTTTGTGATTCCAGGATAGAGGGTTAAAAAAAATAGCTCTTTCCAGTGAAATTCAGGAAGGTTATTAATGCCTGGAGCTTTGCAATTGGACAAGTAAGTGTTTTTTTCCCCTCAATTACACACCAGAAATAACAGAATACCTAGAGGCTCTTAGATGTCAGCATTATAGAAGAGGTATGATTACCCAGCTGAAGCACTGTGCCCATCCGGAGAGGTAAATGAATACTTTAAAGATCTTAAAATGAGAATCGTTTTTATTTGCTGGATCAGGAATTACCTCTGGGAGTTTGTGAGTTTGGTCCCGGGCACCCACCAGTTCTTCCTCGTTCCGTATGGCCCTTGGACCCGCGGAATCAGCGTCACCTGAGGCTTGTTAGTGCAGAAGCCCAGGTACCAGCCCAGGTGTACTGAGTCAGAATCTGCATTTTAACAAGACCCCCAGGTGATTTGTGTGCACATTCAAGTGTGAGAAGCACCGGGACAGACCCCAGCAGCCATCTCTGCCTGCATGCTGACTCGGTTTCCTTTGTAGTTCCTCCAGAGTGGGGGCTGCCTAGGTATGTTTACTGGAGGAGAACTTAATGGTCACGTGTATTACGGGCTGAGACCAGTGCGGTCCTGGCCAAGGTCAGATCACATGCTGACCCATCTGGGACTGGAAACAATGAACTGGATCCAGAAAACAGACTACCGTATGTGAGCAGGTGATACCATACTTCTCATCATCGCATCACTCCCTGAAGGTGGCTCTAAATAGAGCTGTTGCTGACATAGCACATATGTAAGGTCGTTTTGGGACTACAGCCATCACATTGACATAATGGTGTCTGTGACTTATTTTCCAATCCAGGGCACAAAACAGCTTCTGCTAGCAGACGAGTCCTGCCAGACACGTGGCGAAATAGAAAGTTGATGGCACCAGTGAATGGGACTCAGACGGCCAAGAACTGCACAGATCCCGGTAAGAAGTGGATTCTCCTCCGCCCTGCCCACCGAGACACTGGGGCTGAACGGGCGCTGGCGCTCCTGTGGGCAGTCACAGCCAGAGCTGGGAAAGGCGGTTTCTGCGCCTGAGTGGGAAGGGGTGGCTGTGTTAGGTGTTGAAAGGTAACATGCAGACATTCATCCGTTGTGCTGCTAAGCAACTCAAGTGCTTTCTTTATCCAGCAACTGAAAAGGTCACATTCAAGAGTTTAAAAATTTTATTTTCTGCTCTCACAATACTCCTGAAGGCTGAGCATTCTCCCTCACGCTCCTGATTTCATTTGCCCAGGTGTTTGCGTTTACTTTCCCCTTCTGCTCACTATAGCCATTTGCTGGCACCCTAGGGGCAGCACGTGCAGCGGCTCTGGCGGATGGCGCTTCGGGATGAGCCTCCAGGGCTGGGGCAGCTGCAGAGGTGGATGCTCTGTGGTGCTCGGGCCCTTGCTGTGGAATGGGAGTCCCCAGGCTGTCATTCAGCCCCAAAGACCGATTCTGCTTGCCCCGGGAAGCAGTTTGAATGTTCTTCACACTTCTCCTGGGGTTCAGAGGCAGTGGGGACCCAGAGGCAGGCAGGCTTTGCTCGCGCGAGGGAAGATGCTTCTCGGGAGAAGAGGTGCACTGGCAAAGCGGCCAGGCTCCGGCCACTGCCCAGGCCTTGCACAGGGCAGTTCTGGGCTTTAGCTCTGGCGCCAGCTCTTGGGGCCTTTGTGAGGAGGGTCCGGTGGGATGATCTCTTCCAAAGCCCTTAGGGAACTGAGGTTTTATCATAGATGCCTTTTCCGTCCAGTTGCTGGGTGAATCACATAATCTTTTTGAATCTCTGTTTTCTCACCTGTGAAATGGGGGGAATGGTACTTGCCTGCTCCAGGGTGGTTGGAAGAATTGGGTGAGGCTGTGCCTGGGACTGTGTAGAGAGGAGGTGGCTCTCCGGGCAGAGGAGCAGGGTTGGTGTCAGTCTCTGTGTGTTTACCGTCACACTCTGGGAGGCAGGTTTCACCTCCATTTTGCAGGTCCGGAAAGACCTAGGGAGGAGACACACATTGCTCAGAGTCACAGAACCTGTGAGCAGTGAATCTGGCTTTGGAACCTAGGCCTGTGGGACTGAAACGTTCGATTGGGTCCACGTGCTCAGGAAGGCGAGGCCTCCCCTCAGTGGTCACACTGTTCTCCGCGCCATCAGCGTCTCTCCCTCAGGTGCCCCGAGGAAGTACACAGGGACATGGGGGATGGACAAGCACGGGCGTGCAGAGAAGCCCTGGGATTCCCTCTGCACCTGGACATCGTTCCTGAGCGATCCATCTGTCCCGGTGACCCAGCAGGTAGTGGTGGCCATCCTGTCATCCCCATCCATTCCAGGGACCTGAAATGCTAGAACTGGCACCATCCACATGGGGAACACTGTGCTACTCTGGATAAAGAATCGGAGGGAGTTTTTAACTGGTTTCTGGGTCGCTGGCGTTGGGCTGGCTATGCCCCTCTCCGGTGACTTCTGTCATGTATAGTCTGGGCATGTCGGCTTAGATGGGGCCCCATTTCTTACAGAGTTCTGTGCCTCACTGTGGCCCCTGTATTTTCAGCATCTGATACTGTCTGATCAAAATTATATTTTAATTTTTATAAAGCATCCGTTGTATTTGACAGGAAGACCTTACCCTGTCCCTCTTATGGGGAGGGACAGGGAAGGAAATTGACAGTGTCTTCAGCAATGGTTCACATTTGCATTATACTTTGTACCGACTGTTTCTGGAATAGAGCCTAGCACACTGAAGGGACTCAGTAAATATTGGTCAAGTGATGGAATGAAAGTGTGTTTTGATGTATTATGCATTTTAATTCTTACTGTGCTTTTGCCAAGATGAGAAACACAAAGCTCAGAAGTTTAGTGGCTTCCCAAGATCTCTCTGCTGGCAGAGCATCCCTGGGTCACCTGGCTCCAGACGCCACGCCTCCCCCACTGCACTGCATCAGCCCTCGGCTCTCCTCTCATGCCAGGTGGGGGCTGGGACCTGCCTTCCCTGCCAGCCTCCTCCTACCTGGCCCGGGAGAGTCTCCACCCCCTCTCCGTTTGGCAGGTCTGCAGCAAGCACCTGCTGTTGTGTGCCCAGCCCTGTTGTGGACGCTTAACAGGGAGTGGGGAGTATAAGCAAGTATAAGATGCATCCCTGTTACCAAGTAGCTTCTAATGGAATAGAAGACAAGATCTCGACCCAGGGAGTACTTGGGGACCATGAAGGACTGCAGAGGCCCCACCGAGCAGTCCTGCAGGAGGCCCTTCAGGCGTCCAGAGGGATGAGCTGGCCTGGTACAGTTCCGTGTAGTCTCAGGGGCTAAATGAGCCAGGTCCCCATTGCAATGACAGAAAGCCTCCCCAAATGGGATTTAGCAAAAGGAATTTAGTGGCTCAGTAACTGGAAGTGTGGAATCAAAGTGGAGAGGTGTCTATGATTCCGTTTCTCTCTGTCTGGACTCAGTTGTGTTCTAGCGTGGGAAGGTGGTTACCACAGGTCCAACTGTATGTCCTCCCAGACTCAAAAATGCTAGGAAAGAGCGAACCGGTGGCTGAGCCACTTCTGCAGAAACTGGGAGGTTCTACTGGTTTGCGTTGGCTTGGGCCACATGACCACCCCAGCCAGTTGCTCCGGCCAAGGCAGTGCAGGACCCCAGACTGGCTTAGGCTCCGTCACAGGTTCCGTGTGCGGAGGGAGGGGACTAAAGCTGCCTCGCCCAACAGTTGGACCCCACCTGGGAGCTGGAGACTTGGGCACCTGCGGGAGCAGACATTCAATTTGTTACACCTGTTCACCACGGGCTCCCAGCCTGGGGCTGCCACTGTGACAGGGGCGGGCCAGAGCTCCAAGTTAGAGTTTCGGAGTGTGACAGATGGTGTTATCCGATGGCTGCCTTCTTTCTACACAGTTGGCGGAGGTTTTCCCCATAAGAATTGCAGGGGGTCTTCATCTTCTCGAGGCTTCTGCTTTGTGCCCATCTCCACCAATTAGAGGCCCCTCGTCTGGCTCTGCCAGTTGAGGTCTTTTAGGGATGCAGGGAAACGGAGCTTCAAGAGTTTCCTCCTGTGCCAAAGCACCACCCACGGTCGGTGTTCAGCAGACGTTAATTCGTGTCTTCATAGGATCCTCCAGGGAAGGAGCTGTGTCTTAGTTCCTGTACCTTCTTACGCTCCTCTTTGCGAGTGTGAGGAGAAACTTTTTTTCCTAAAAACGTGAATGGGACCCCGCTCTAGTCTTTCTTCCCTGAAGACTCTGGAAAATGCCGAGCTCTTCGTTCTTCCTGGATCATTTCCCCAGATCTTCGTGGCGGTCTTTTGAAGATCATTGCTTGTGTTTCAGTGTAAGTGCCCCCATCACGACCCCCTCAGTTCTGTCACCCCTTATCATAGTACCCTATATTGTTCTTATGACTTCTGTCACCATCTAAAATAACTTATTCCATTGTTGTCTGTCTGCCCTCAAGGGCTGCCTGTTCTGTGGCCAGAAGAGGGGTTCTCAATCCTGGCCACACATTCGGAGCACCTCAAGAGCTTTATAGATATATTTTTAAATGCCCAGCACCCCCCTTCCCCCCTGGAGTGTCTGATTTCATTGGTTCGGGTACGGCCTAGGAATCCGTGAAGACAATGAGGATGAAAGATCTTTATGATGATCCACTGCCACTTAATGAATAGTAAATATATTTGCTCTTCCTTTTGATTTTCTTAACTTTTTTTTCTCTAGCTAACTTACTGTAAAAATGCAGTATATAATACATGTACAAAATATGTGTTAATGAACTTTGTGAGTAAGGATTCTGGTTAACAGGAGGCTGTTAGTAGTTAAGTTTTTGAAGAGTCCAAAGTCACACGCAGATTTTCAGCTGCACGAGGGATTGGTCTGTTTAACCCCTGTGTTGTTCAAGGGTCAACCCACCTCATAGGGTTGTTACAATTAATTCAGTACCCATCAGAACTTAAAGTGGCGTTTGGCACATAATTCATGCTCAGACACTGGCTTCTGTTTTCATCGTCATTTCCTGTCCACTCACCCCAGAGATGACACGATGCCTGTGTAGAGTAGGTACTGAGAAACTACTTGTTAATTGAGTTTTCTGAGAACAAGTTAACAGCTTGCTAAACATTTATTTTCTCTTCTGGAAATAAGTTCGTTTTGTTTATCTTTGGAGGATGTAGGATCCTGGAGGATAGCACACCTTGTAGAACTTGCTTCTAGATAGAAAAACTTTTCTTGTGTTTTGACAGGTGCTATTTTACATATTGGCTATTTAACTGGGTGGGCACAGTTTCCTCTGTTTTTATGCTGCCGTTTCCCCTGCATTTGAGATTGAATAAGTGGTTCATCTTCCACCATGTCACCCCTGTTGGTTTGGGTTTCCAACATCCTACGCCCCATGTTAAAAAAGAGGGGGAGACTAAGAGAGCTTGGTTTTCCCTCTCGTTGTGGGAGGGATTTAAATCCTCCTCTAGGGTTTGCGTTATCAGGCTTGGTTTTCCTCCTTCCACGTATGTCTTCTGAGATGCCTGGTGGCCGTGTGTCCCTGGCAAGGCTGGAGGACAGTCTACAGATGAGGGAGCTCCGTAGCCTTTCAAGGGAGCAGTGGAGAAAGATGCAGGCTTTCTCCTGATGGAGGATCTTTTGTGGTCCACTTGTGATCTGCCCTTTTTGTTTTATATCGGACTGATGCAAAGGCAGCTGTGGGAGGAGAGAGGGTGGCAGAGGCTGGTGGTGTGACGCTGGGCTGGGAGATGAGGTCATCCGGCAGGTACCCCCAGCAGTGGGTCTCCGCAGGCTCGCCTGTGCAGGGAGCAGAGATGCAGAAAGCTCAAGAAATCAAGAGTAGGAGGAGGGACCTAGAGCTGCGAAAAGAACGTCAGGACAAGTGGGTGAGGCGGTGCAGTGGTACTGGCAGCGAGAGGAAGAAGCGTCTGGATTCCGAACAAGCGTCTGTTAGCATGCTGCTCCAGCG